TTGATTGTTGAAGTATCATAAATATCGAAAATTCTTGGTGATTTGCTATTTATATAATTATTATAAATAAAACATGGAAGATGAATATGTTATGGTCAATGGCAGAAAAACTGTAAATTAAACAATCTAAAATAATAGATTCCTAGAAAGATGTATCAAGGAAATAGAATATACAATGGAATTACATTGAATTTACATTATTCAATAGGGTAATTATGCAATAATTTATATCTTTAAGTTTGAAACAAAGAATCCAATCATACATTTATTAAGAAGACTCTCTTGTTTATCTGAATGGTCATCATCTTGTACTTTATGATATAAACAAAAAGAAACAGCAATTTATATTAAGACCTAAAGATGAAGAAGATGTAAATAAATGCAACTTAATTTTAGGTTGTAGTGATGAATCATTGTGTTAATGATAAGATGATACTCTCTGTTGGTCTAGGACTCAAGAATACTATCAAAAATTATGCAACTGTAAGAATCTATAAAACCAATCAAAAATCTTTCACTCTACTTCATTAGCATCTTCCTTTTGGAACTTAAGTCAAAGATATTGCCTTTCTTCATACTGCCAAATATACTATCACACTTTGTTATAATATCAATTCTCATGACACTTCATACATCAGTGTATTCAAAACTAATACTGAATAACTTATTACTTACAGTGATGTAGGTGAAAATTATGTTGGTTTATTTGGAACCTACAAAGATTTCGAATAATTTGGAACATTCGGACATAATGTATTGAAATTATGGAAATTTAATCCAACTGAAAAATAATTAGATGATGTTTTCTTAGATTATGAGGGAGTTATTACTCATGTAGTCTAATCTAACAAGTAATTAATATATATTTATAATTTAAGAAAAATATTCCTCATGAATAAAAAAGGAATTTTATATTTTTATCGAAAAAACAAAATAATTAATTCAGCCAACATCCCTGCTGATTTAAATGAGACTCCTACTGTTATAGCAGCCTATTCAGAAGGAGTTGTTGTGGGATTTGAAAATAAACCTATTATAGCTATGTATGAAGCACATAAAGGAATAATCGAATATAGAAAATAATATACTCTAAATATTAGTAATCTCTAAAAACTTGTTTATATTCATGTTGGAAAAGATGACTCTTATATATCCATTACAGCATAACACAAAACTAGATAAACTGAAAATGAAGAAATCAATTGTGAAATCTATCTCTTTAATCTTGGATTTGTTGATTATATAAATTCTGCATTTAGAGATCCTTTTGAATAATTATTTCCTTAAGGTGTTCACAAAAGTAAAATTTTAAATATTGAATCATCTCCTTCAAAACCTATCATTTGTGTTTTATCTGAAGAAAGAGTATTTAAAGTATGGGAATTTACTTATGAAGAAGGTAAATTCAAGTGTCTTTATTCATCTACTTTACATGAAGTTCCATAATGTATGGCTTTGCATCCAATGGCATTTTAATGTGCAATTGGATATCGTGAAGGACTCAAATTTTATTTTGTTCTCCATGATGAACTTAAATAAGTTTATTATGAATCATTAAAATAATGCAGTGTTGTTAAATATACTCCTTTAGGAAATCAATTAGCTGTTGGATCTTAGAATTAAATTCTCATTTATGATCCATATACTTATAGATTGATCTAAACAATATCAGGACATATGGGTACAATTGCATCATTAGAATGGTGTGATAATACACTTATATCTACTTGTAGTTAGGGATTAGTAATGGTATTCAATCAAACTAGATTGGTTGATCATTCATTTAAATTACATAAAGGATTTTGTTAGACTTATGATCCTGAATATGATTTCCTTATTGGAAGTTATTCTGATAATAAAGTTAGAATTTTTAATGAAAAGGGATAGAATTTATATTATGAAATGGATATCTATCCATGTTAATATGTATGTGTATAAATTCTAAGATTTCTGGATTTGATTGCATTTGGAACTAATTGTGGTAAAGTAAGATTATATTTATGGCCTTTCACATAATTCAAAAATGATTAAGAAATGTTAGAATTTCAATTGCATTAGGGACCAATAACATAAATTAGAATGTCTTCTGATCAATAATTCCTTATAACTGGAGCTGAAGATGGTTCAATATAAATTTGTAAGGTTAAAGAATGGTATGATGGTAAAGATATGACACCATAAGAAACATAAAAAGGATAAAGAGTTAATTCAAAAGGGTTACTTGTATCCAATTTATACAGTTTTAGTATATTAGCTTTTGTGAGTAAGAATAGTATTGAAATGAAGAAGGATCTTATTAAAGAATTAGATTTTAGGATTTCTAATCAAAAAAGTGATTAAGAAGATTAAAAATAAGATATAACTTAGAAATATTAAAAATAAGAAAAAGAATTAGAATAACAATATTAACATTAGATAGCTAGATATAAGGAAGAATTATCTTAAATTATGGAAGCAAAAGATACTAGAAATAAAAATTTAGATATTGATTTAATTGATTTTAGAAAAAAGTATTAGGCAGAATCACACTAAATATAAGAAAAAACTGAGAAAGATCTTTTATAATTATATTAGAAGAATGATGAAGTTAAATAAAGATTATAATTGACAAATGAAGAAAATCAAAGAGAATATGAATAAAAGAAAGCTCATTTAGAATCTATTAGAACAAATATTAAAAATGATTAAGATACTAAATTTAATGATTTATTTTCAAGATTTTAATCATCTAAAGAATCTTTTGAATTAGATGAAAAAAAGTATTTAGAGGTATTCAAAGAAACTGAAAAAGAATTTGAATAATTAATAAATGAATAGAAAGAGAAAAAACTAATTAAATTAAAAGAATTATTAGATAAAAGTGAAAAGATAAGATCAAGTAATACTAAATTTAAAAAAGAATGTGATAGATATTAATTAAGAAAATAAGAATTAGAAAATATGATAAGAGAAACAAGAACTTAAAAAGATTTAATTAACAAAGAAAAAGATAATTTTAAATTAATAAATTAAGAAAAGAAGAATTAATTAAAAGAAAGAGAAAGATAAATCTTTTAGAAAGAAAAGGAAATTAAAAATTATAGAAATAAAAATGGTCATTTATAAAATTTTAAGAATGTCAATTCATATCGTTTATAATCTTTATAAGAATAAAAAGCACCTTTACAAGAACATTTATAAGATTTAGATTAGAATGTTAAAATTATGTACTAAGAATTGACTGATGAAGCAGAAGCTGAAAAGAATTTAGAAAACTTAATAGAAGATACTTCCAATAAAATTAAAGAATTGAAAAATCAATATCTGATAAAAAGGGATTCCTTATTCTCAAAAAGAGGAGAGGTTTAAGAAATAGAAAATGATATATTCAAAGTATTAGCTGATCCTGAAATCACTAATTTTAAAGAAATGTTATAAAATGTTCATAAATAGCATTTCATTAATGGCAAAATAAACAAAGGTGATATAAATGAAGATTCTATTTATGCTGAAATTGAAAAGAATACAGAAGTAGCCATACGAGAAGAAATGCTTAGATAAAGAGATTTCTTAAGTAAAAAGATCAACACAATCACTAGAACAAGCAAAGCAGCTGATGAGGATAAAACTAGTCTTATAATTAGAGTTTAAAAGGAAAATACTAATTTAGTGAAATCTTGTAATGAATTAAGAGAATAAAGAGCAAATCTCATCTCTCATCTGTCTAATATGTAAAAAGCCTTAGATATATTACAAAAGGAAATTTCTTCTTTAAATAATGGTGAATCTATTGAATTATAACCATCAGATGAAGATGTTCCACTCTATATAGAGAAAAACAAAATATAAAAACAAATTTCAGCTCCAAAATTAACACCATTTTAATAATATCACTAAGAAAAGGACATATAAAAAATTAGAAAATCTGACACTTTTCTGAAAAGAGATAAAGGATAATTAGATTTATAATAATTGATAAAAGAAATTAAAACTTATAATTTAACTGATTAAGAATTAAGAGTAATAATATTTTTATAATTAGGATTAAGTATAGCAATTTTTAAGAAATGATGAATCTTCATCTATTCTTCCTTAAATTCTAAAATATCCATTCAATTAATCTCAAGAGGAAACCCAATTAGCAGGATTAGAGTAATCCATCATTAATACATCCTTGGAAACCTAAAAACTTTAATTGCCATTAATTAAATAATGATGGAAATGAATTTCTATATCGGATTTATTTACATATAATTAATATCTTTAAGAATCTATTCCTTTTCTAAGAAGCTCTTAATTTAATTTCAGTGAATTCTTACATTGAAAATTAAATGTAATATTGATATCTGTCTTATTATAATACTACTATAAATATAACAATTTGGTTTTGATCAAAATAAATTTAGGATAATTTTAATATACCAATAAATTCTAATAACAAATCTTTTATGATATTTTAAACTGTTGACTTTTTTAAGTTGGTTACAAATTATTAATTATTAATTATTCAATTTATTTATTATTTCATATATATTTCCAAAAATTTATGTAGTATTCTTGAATAATAATTATCATATCGATATAAAATTGTTTTTGTCATCTCAAAAAATTTATTCCAACTCCAATTCTTTAAATAATTTATAGACTAAACATCAAATACATAAAATAAGGTCCCTATTAATTTATTCATCTAGTTTATTACTTTAATCTCTATAACAGAAATTATAGCCGACCTCTAACAAACCAAAACAACTCTATAATATTATTTATTTAATTTATTATAGGTACATTACTAATTAATAAATATTGTTAGATCAAAATAATTGTCAACTAGTTTTAATCTAATAATAAACATTATTTATCATTCATAATAATAATGATGTAGTTTCACTTATACTACTATTTTAGGTTCTATTCATGTTAAATCCATTCTGATATATTTAAAGTGATTTTTATAAGTAAAAATGAAAATTATATTATTAAATTTTTATAAAAAGACAGATTTTCTATAGAATATTAAGATGTTAAGAAATATATAATAAAGTGTGGTAATTATAAAACAATAAATTTTAGTATAACAAAGTCAGAGACTATACTAATCCATTTAATTTACTTATTCCTTGGTTGAATGCAATTTTTAAAAAATATATGGGAAATTTCTTTAATGAAGAGATTAATAAAGAATAATTCACATCTATGGGATTAAAAAAGTTAACTCTTAAAGTGAGTTCTCTAAATTAATAAATGGCACCTAGTATTCCCTTTGTTTTAGAATCAGGATAGATTTCTCTTTTAAAATTAGATTTACATAAATTAACATGTCTAATAGAGGAGGTGGAATTAACTTTAAATTTCAAGACGATTGAATAATATCGGTTATTTGTGTAAACCTATACAAAATAAAAGATGACAGCAGATAAACTTTAGAAAATTAAAGATGAAATCATTAAAGCATATAAAGTTAAAAGTGAGACATCAAATAATGTAAATTAGAATGCATGGAATATAATTAGATAGTTTTTATAAAAAATAACATTTACAGTTAATAAATTGGTTTTACATATTGTAGAACCAATCCACAATGATAAAATATCTTTGGCAATCAACTAAATTAGTATGAGAGTTAGAAAACTATAGGAAGAAAAAGATTAAATGGTCAGTACTATGATTATTGGTGGTTGTTCACTTCATATTAATGAATAAAATTAATTGTTTGATGTAAACAATTTTTAAAAAGAATCTTGTATATTTAGTTTATAATAACAATATACTAATAAGTATGATTAACATGTTGTTATTCATTTAAAAACTGAATTAAAGGAAAGGTTAAAATTTAATAGTACACTTTGTATAAGATTGATGTAAATGAACTTTAATTATAAATAATTTTAGATAGCATTAAGAATTATAATGAGTATTTTGGATCATAATAAATTTATTTAATCTCAAGATAAAATAATCATTGAATCTATTAAATAAGAAACTCCATAATTTTAATTTACATGGTGTGAATCATAAATTAATATTAATTATTGTGATTAGATAGGAGAACTTAAATAGGATGATGTTGAAAGTAAATCATTAAGTGAAGAAGATATGGTTGAATTTAATGAGGATTTAGAATAAGCTTTAGAGAAAAGTTAATTTAATGAAGAAGAAGGTGATCAACAATTTGAGGAATCTTAGATTGAAGGATTAAATTAATCTGTTCTAAATTAATCTAATCTTGGTGATTTAAATCAAAGTACATTAAAATAATCAATTTTCTCAATGTCTGTTTTTAAAGAATTGATAAATGATGAAGATGATAAATAAGGTTTAGAAGAATTGGATGATTGTTAATTAATTTTTAAATTGAAAATCTAGAAAATAAGATTTAGATTATCAAGAGATAACATAATTGATAAATGGAATATAGATAAATTAAAAAAGACTAATTATTATGAATTAGAATTAGATTAATTAAATTGGTTGATGACAAAAGAAATAACTTAATAATAAATAACAACTGTTAAATAAACAAAAATTGAGATTCCAATTATTTAAGTCTTTCATTATGAATATTGTAATATATTCCCTGAATAAAAAGTTGAAGAATAAAATAATAAAGAAGATGATGATAATCAAGACATATTTAAGAGTATAAATGAGGATTTTCCTAATAATTCTTAGGCTTAAGAAAATTAAATGTTTCATTCTTGCTATAATTTAAGTTAAAATGATGTCTTAGATAAGATAACTCAAATGAAGAATGAATTTATTAAGGAATAAGGAAATTATTATTATAAAAAGAAGTGTTTGATCAGCATTTATGATGGCGTAAAAGATGAAAAACCATTAATCACAAAAGTAGATAATCAATTCATATATTCAAATAATAAAATTATATCTCATGGTAATGGTTTATAGATTTAAATGCATCATTTAAATAATTCTTAAGCAATTTCTATCAAATAAATTGATATTAATGTAAATATAGATGAAATCATGGAATTTATATAAATATTTTAAATAGATTATGAAAAAAAACAAATCAAAAGTATACCAAATTTAAATCTTATAACAATCCATTAAATTTAATTTGATGTTTAGATACAAGAGGCAGATTATGTTGACTTCTATTATTTATAATAAATCATAAAGAATGATCCCAATAGTAGCAGTATCATACATTAATAATAAAAAATATCCTTTTTCACATTTGATATAATCGATCTTTAAATATAATAGTCTAGTTCTGGTTTCATTACTTTTAATTCAATAACTTGTATAAAGAAAGAATACGATAGAATCAAATCTATATTTCTTAATGAAACTATTGCTGAAATAGGTGCATAAGAACATTCTTAAATTTTAATTAGACCTATCATAAAACTTATGGAAACAAAAGAAATACGAGTTGCAATACCCAAAGTTGAGATTTTCATTAATATGTCTTACATGGAATATGTAAAGACACTATTTACAGTAATTTAAGATTTTTAGAAAAGAATGTTAGCAAAGAGTAAAGATTAAAAAGAAAATAAATAAATAATAAAATTGCTCTTTGATGAAATATTAATTAAAATTAATTTAGAGTAATAAACTAATTCACATTAAGCAAGATTTATTATACATGCATCTAAATTGGCTGCAGAAATTATAGGTAAAGATGAGGTTATGCTTACATTATATAATTGTTTGATCATTGATACTAATTGGAATTCCAAAAAGCCAAAACAAGATATCCCAATATATGGTAGTCCCAATGATATAAAAACAGAATAACCACATTAAATATTACATTTTAGAAAATAAAAATATTAAGCTAATCAAGTTTTAATTTATAAATAAGAGAGATTCAACAGAGAAGGATTCAAAAGTCTTGTTTAAAATGAAACAATCAAATCTGAACCAAATATGGCTTTCTAATATACTACTATCAAATTAAAGGCTAATAAATACTTAAATCCAGATTGTTTAGATGCTTTATATGGAAAAACTAATTTACTTTCATTAAAATTTAATAAAAATAAGAAAATTTAAATTCAATATTAACATGGAATAATTCAAGTAGATGAATAATGGATTAATACAATAACAACTATCTTAGATTTAGCTAAAAAATGGGAATAAACTTTAATACAATAAAAGAATAATACAAACCAAACCAAACCTATCCCAAATTTTACATTGAATGTTTAAAATATATGGTTAAATTACCTACCAACATATAGAAAGTCTACATTGTTGAAATAATATTTATAGAAAAAAGAACCAATTAAATCATTAATTGCAATATAATCTGAATAATTATATTATTCTTGGATCCGAGTTCTAATTAGAATTAAGAGTGCTACAGTATCAAGTGATTTATAAGCACATTTGAGTTCCGCATAAATATATGTTAAAAGTACATCCAAGGATATTAAACATGCTAATTTGAGTTTCTTAAATCCCATATTAATGGTTCCACCTTAAATTGGACTTTTTGATGAAAATAGAAAATTTTCTGATGGATTTCAAATAGATAAGGATGAATAAGGTTTATTGAGACTTCTATGTTTCTAAAAATTATTTAAAATCAAAGGAGTTACAGTCTCAGGAAAAACTATAAATATTGGTTAAATAACAGGAAATCTCAAAAAAGATTCAATTATTAGTCTATGGGATATTACATCAATGACCATAGACAGAATAAAAAAGATTATTCCTGAATAAGAAAATGAAAAATAAATATAGGTTTTGCAAGAAGGTCATTAATACAATCCTACTGAAAATATAAATATATTTGAAGATGATGAAATTGAGTTACCACCAAAAGAAAATATTTCTCATCAAAAATAATTTGAGATAGTTCTTAAGAGTCTTGAAATAAAATTAACTGTTGGTTAACATTTCCCACCTGAAGTATTTAGTGATAATAATCCTATTAACACAGAATGTTAATTACATAATTAAGAATAATATTACCTTGAACACTCAAATTTATTATAAATAGAGGAGTTTCCACAAATAAATGATTAATAATGTAGTTCTATTATTTTGAGTATGAAAGATTTAAAATTAGTATGTTGTGGACCATCATAACAAGAAATCAATCAATTTTATTTAACTTTATTACATTTTCAAATAACAGATAGAATCTAAAATTCCAAATTTTCTAAATTGATTGGTAAAGAACCTAATCATGAAGAATTGAATTTTGCAGAGGTCTTCTATCAAATTGATAAAACAAATAATATTATTGATTTAGAAGCTAAAATTGTTCCAATAAGAATTTGTATCTCTGGAGCTGCATTAGAATTTTTATTAGATACTATAAATAGTAATGAATAATTGAGTCCAAAAATTGACTTATTGAGTAAATTAAATATAGGAAATGATAAAGAGTCTATTATTGAATTCTGTGTACAGGAAGGTTATTAAGTGACTTTTTCTAGAATAAGTGAATTAAGTACTAATATTTATTATATAGAAAAATCAATTAAAGTGAATTTTTTGAATATAGAACGAATATATTGCTATATAACATTTGATGGGAGTGGTGTAAAATTAGATGGAAAGTTAAAAGGATTAGTTCGATTGGCTTCGTATGACAGTCTATTTATATTTTTAAAGAGAGCTCAAATACATAATTTAGTATTTGAAAATGAAAGAGATTTGATCAAGTTTATGTTTGAATAATACTAATATCTCATTAGAAATGATTCCTAATTAGTTTAAAAATTGATTACTTCTTTTAAAGCATTTTAAAATATAACCAATATAGTATTGGGGTAGCAATAAAATATTATTTAGAATTTAAACTATGTTTATGACAATAATAAAATAAGGATTAGTAACTGGAGTGTTTTCAGGATCCATTCCATTAGCAAAGGCACTTGGAGATGAAATTGTATATTTGGCTAAGAAGCCTATAGAAGTTTGTAGCACAATGACAGAAGGAATTGGATTAAAAATGGCGAACGTTGTGTTTAGTCCTATTGAAAGAGTTTTAGACTAATTTTCTACACTTGTATTAAATTTTTAAATGATAATTAGACAACAAGTGATAGAATTCCAAGGGAGTTTTTTAAGAAAAATAATTTAAATTAATCTAATTCATGATCAATATTACTAATTAATACATTTAAAAAATTATATTGTTATGTTTCGAGAATTCTCTGCTCCTAATTAGTATTTTAACCAAGCTCAATAAAATCCATTTAAAAATGCTGGAATGTAAACTATAGATTTTTATGGAAATATTGGATATCCAAAACCAGATTACCCAGTTTTAATGTAATAATAATACTATGACAATTATCAATACAACAAAATGTTTTCATCGTAAGTATTTACTCCTCATGTTCAGCCTATATTTATTGCAGGTCCTATTTATAAGAATTAACCTGTTTTTTAAGGTCCTTAATATTTAAGTTAGAGCTTATTCCAACCAATCGAAAAGAATAAGTTTTATAAGTATAATTAACCAGATGAAATTATTGAAAATTAAAAAAGTTTAAATTTACAATCAAAACAACAATTAGAAGAAAATATCAAGATAAGAAATGAAATTTTAAATCAATGGAATTTTGAAGAAGAATAGAAATAAAAAAGTTCTCATTCTTAAAGTGAATATGAATATGTATAAGAAACTTAAAATAAAAGAAATAGTCAAAATGATTATGATAAAAAAAGGAGATATTAATAACATAATAAAGAAGTAGAAAAACCCCCTGTTGAGAAAAAACATTCTTAAAAGTAGAGTTCTCATTCCTTAAAATCTTTTGAGGGAGATAAACCAAAATAACCTTAAAGTCTTCCATCAATCAAAGAAGAAGCAGAATAACCAAAAACCATTTTTACAAAGAAAAATGAAATTTAGTAAACTAAATCAAGAAAAAGAGGAAAGAGGAATTTAAAGATCATTTTGAAGGCTTTGATATTTCTTCTTATGTATTTCTTAGAAATGAAAAGATAAATATTAAAAAGAAAAAAACTCTAAGCAAATAAAGAAAACAGTTTAGAAATTGTAAATTAAGCGATGCAAGAAGGTGCTGAGTGGTTATTAAATTTTTCTGAAAATGATTTAAATGTATTTTGGAGTAAAAAAGAGTCATTAAATTGGTTAGAAAATGATTAATTATCAGATAAGGAGAAGATAAACAGAATCAATAAAGTCAAATTGTTTATCTAAAAGCTTTCTATTATTCTATCTGAAAATATGAAAGAATCTAGTTTTAAACCAGAATTTTTCTCATTTCTAGCCTAATTAACTTAAAATTTTTAATTCCCTCCAGATTAATATTTTTTTAATTTCGAAGTCTCTAGATTAGAATTCAATTCTTTTGGTGCCATTAAGAATATAAAAGTGCCATAATAAAAAATGGTTTTGGCATTCTTTATTATGATTAGATTATTGGGGTTCACAATTTTATATGCACCTTGGACTTTAGGAGTAAGCAATATTAAAAAAAGTTCTATTTTAGAATCTAATTCTTTAATCATTGTTTCTGTTTTATAAGAATTAGTAGTAAGTGAGTTTAGAGAAATTAAAGTTTTAGAGAATAATTAAAATCATCTGAGTAATGAATTAAAAATAAATGCTCGACCTCAAGGTCCTCTTAAAGTAAATATTAAATAAAATAATATTTAGATAATACCTGATCCTAAGACTTAACAAGAAAAAATGTTTTTAAAAACTACGCTTGAACCATTAATATATCCAACATATAAAAGGGAAGAAATGAAAGATTTATTTGAGAAATAAATTGAAGTATGTTTTTAAAAATTATATTAGTGGGTTGACAAAACAATGACTACATTTGATGATATATATACATAATTAGTAAAAATGACAAACTCTTGGCATAAAAATAATAAGGTTTCTATTACTGCTGGGTTGAAATAGAAAAAAAAATAAAGATACTGATTTTTTATTTTTCAACTTATCCAAATTAATATTTAATAAAACAACTTTAAAATTTTAATTTATTAAATTATAAATACTTTTTAATTATTCCCATCTATCAACAAAATAGATAATTTTCGCAACTATTCAATAAATTTAATGATTGCCACAAATCCTAAATTGTAAATTCTGATTTATTAAAAAATATATATTGAATAGAATTCATCTTAAAAACAATTCAAACGATAAAGATTAAAATATATAGAACAACTTTAAAACTATTATACCATAAGCAACCTAAAGATGTTTCTAACTCTAATTTATCTCAAATATGATAATTAGAGGCAATTTAATGATATGATAACATTTTGATAAGGAAATTATATTTTCAATTTAATCATTAAAATAAAAGAAAATTATACACTATTGTTATAAATTTTAAATAGGAAAACCTATAAACTTTTGATTTGGTAAAAACTAATGGTTATTAATTTAAAATGATATTTTAGAGTTTAATCTTATTTTCAACATAATGATTTATTATCAATTGAGAAAGGAATTATACTTTTAGGGCGAACTCTATTTTTTTAATTATTAAAGAGAATAATTTAATATATTGCAACAATTAAATTAACTCATGTAATTATTGATATTAGTTCTCCTATTATTAAATTGAGAGATGCAATTAGTTAAAAATTAACAATTTTTTTTATAATTACTAATTTAATTGAATTTATAAGGATTCATTAATCAGAATCTTTCACCTCTAATTCTTCTGGCTAATTAGATATCTCTTGACATGATTGTAACTCTTCTAGCATGAATAGCGCATAAGTTGGTGTCTTCAAATAATCCAACAAGGTATGCTTCAGCAGCTTCTTAGAGTGCCAAAACAGCTGAGCTTTAGAATCTGAGCTCCTTTTAGAATTCGTGTGCAATTTCTCTGACTAATCTTTAGAATGGAAGTTTTCTGATCAAAAGCTCAGTTGATTTTTGATATTTTCTGATTTCTCTCAAAGCAACTGTTCCTGGTCTGAATTTGTGGGGCTTCTTTAAACCTCCAGTTGCTCCAACAGCTGGGGCTGTTTTTCTTGCAGCCTTGGTAGCCAAATGCTTGGTTGGTTTCTTGTTACCAGCAGTGCTCTTTCTTGCAGTTTATTTTGTTCTTGCCATTATTATTTATATTTTTATTTAATTTTGAATTTGTATTATGAGGGGGGTTTTAATCTGATATACTCAAATATGATTGGTTGAAATGGAATATTTAATAACAGTAAAAGACAATAAACTTGTCTTGAAATCAATTAGACTCCATCTCAATATATGAAATCAATCTATACTTCAAATTTGATGATCTATACTAAAAACATTTCCATTCAAGAAAGACACTTTAATATTATGGAAAAATAAAAAATTATTTGCATACTCTAAATGCAATATTAAACTGTTAAATATATATCAATAAAGTTTAATTTTAGTTTGTGATTTAAGAAAACATCATTTTTGAAATCACTAATTAATATAATAAAGTCCTCCCATTTTTGATATAAATTAATTTAAACCAGAAATCAAAATTCAAAGTATGAAATGCTATGGATAAACCCATGAGTCATATTTGAAAGGTTGGTGAATAGAAATATCACTAAAATAAAGGAGAAGAGTATTTCAAAGGAAAATTTGTATGATGGCTTATTGATAAATTTTTATAATAAATAATAATGTTGCCTTTACCAGTATAGACAAGAAAAATGCCAAAATTAGATTTAATGGATTTAATAGAATAAGGGTTTGGGTAAAATATGAGTTTATACTCTGAAATTCCATCAGAGCTTCAATATTGCTAATTTCATAAGTATCATTAAAAAAATGATGAATGTATGATTTTCAAAGAAGATTATTCAATTTACATGTATGCAAAAAAATACAAAAATAATTGGCAAATTTATACAAGAGATCCTTCAGATTCATAATTTGATAAAGAAAATTTTGAATGGATCTTGAAAATTGAAGATGATGTTTTGAGTCTTTGGAAGAAGCCTAATTAATTTATTTCAGTAATCAAAATAATCCATTGCAGTAATTATACTGAATCATATAATCGTATGCGTTTACTAATTTCAAATGGAAAATTAAATAATGTGCCTTTATAGTTTGATTCAGATTATTATCCCAATGGCTGTGATTATATTTCAACTATTCCACCAATATATAATTCGAAAAAAAGAGTTTGGCATATGCAGGATTCAGAAAGGATGTAAAAAGCAAGCAAAAGGAACTTTTTGTTAGGTTTGCACTGTAATGAGGAAAAGAAATAGGTCCTTAAAATGGGTAAAATCTAAACAGGAGTATTCATAGTGGATTTTAAGGAACCTATCAATTTTGTGATAGCCTTCAGTGTTGCTTTGGCTACTTGTGATCTAAAGTCAAGAATAAGAGATTAATGAAAATTATAAATATATTATATATACTAAAGATCAATTTATTAAATAGCATAGCAATTTTTATAGATCTATTTTATTTACAGGCTTATTAATAAAATGAGACATGCCAACTTCATAACATCCTTATCTTGTTTGACTATCAGTAAATGCAGTACAAGCAATTATTTTAGGTGAACCAGCTTTATATTTATTTAAAATGGCTTTTGTTGTCACATAACCATCCATTATTGGCATATTGATATCCATAAAAATTATACTATATAAACAATGAGCTATGTAATATAAATTTATAATACCTTATTCTAATTTTTTAATTGCTTCTAAGCCATTAAATGCATGATCAGCTTCTAAATTCAAGGATTTCAACATTAATTCCAATCCCAAAATATTAATCATTTCATCATCAACAATAAGGATGGTCTTACACTTGCAATCAAGAACATAAGGTTCACTTACTCCAACTGATTGTTATCTTAGTTCACGAATTATATCACTAGGACCATAATTAAATTTCACATTTTAAATTTATAATCTTTTTTAGTAATCTTCTTCATTAGTTTCTTCATTTACACTATCTGAATCTATTTTTGTGTACTACATTTACATTCCTTAAAAACAATCTTTTGTAGGTTATTTGAAATATTAATGATCTCTATTTTAATCTTCATGAAAGCTTTTAACCTTTGGTACCATGACAGTACTAAATCTTTTTGTTAATGGTTTTTTCAATCCACTTAAACTTAATTCAATTTATGATTGTTTTAAATCGACAA